ATTGCGGCCAGAGTCAAGAGTCATCATGCTGCTATAACATATTGTTGGAACCAGGACCTTGCTATCATACAGAATGAGCAGTCAGCCTACAGCACATTCAGTAATTCTGTTCATTGCCTACCTCCTCACAACACCTTCTTATATAATAAAGTGTCTCTAAATCCAAGTATACAAACATTATTTTGGTTAAACAGCATTCTGCAATCTTAAACTGCACTTCGTCAAGCTCGGGTTGAAATGTGTAATAACGGATGTGTTCCACTCTTAGTCATTTGTTATTTGTGTACCTACCACAGAGAGTGAAATATTTGAAATAAAGTATTTTACTTGCATTTGTACAGATTCTTTGAACGAAACTTTATTTATTACAACATAGCTACAAAATGATTACACTTATTTATGTTTCTCAATAGCATTTGGTGGGGAGAAATGGAAAACAAATGTATTATTGACCTCTCTTCTGTGCCCAGGGTGAGTCACTTACTTTATATTTATAGAAACTTTATCCAGTTATAACAATTTTTTGATATAAAATGAATATAACATTTTAACATAATGTAAGAGTCAGCATGGATTTACAAAAGGGAAATCATGCTTGACAAAGCTATTGGAATTTTTTTGAGGATGTAATAAGAATAGTTGTTAATAGGGAGCCAATGGATGTGGCTAACTTGGACTTTTTGAATGTTTTTCATAAGGTTCCACATAAGACATTCACATGTAAGAGCATCTGGGGTTAAGAGTATTGTACTGGCAGACAGGAAACAAAAAGTAGGAATAAACAGCTATTATTGCCTAGTTGGGTATCAAGGTTTAAGTGCTAGGACTCCAACTGTTTGAAATACATATTAATGATTTAGATGAGGGAACTAAATGAAATATCTCTAAGTTTGCAGATGATACAAAGCTTGGTGGGAGAGTGATCAGTGAAGAGGATTCAGAGATGAACCTGTTTGTTTCCTCTCCACCTATCCTCTCCTCTATCCCTCTTCTATCCGCCTCCCACTCTCTCCCTATTTATTTCAAAACCCCCTTCCCCTCCCCCTTTTCTGATGAAGGGTCTAGGCCCGAAACGTCAGCCTCTCTGCTCCTATGATGCTGCTTGGCCTGCTGTGTTCATCCAGCCCTGCACCTTGTTGTCTAGGATTCAGAGATGCTTCAGTGTGATTTGGACAAGTTGAGTCAGTGGCCGGATGTATGACAGATGAACTAAGTGGTAAATGTGAAGCTGTCCACTTTGGGAGCAAAAACAGGAAGGCAAATTATTATCTGAGTGGTGACAAATTGGGAATGGGGTGAGATGAAATGAGAGCTGAGTGTTCCTGTATATCGGTTGCTGAAAAAAAGCATACAGGGATGCAGCAGGCAGTAAAGAAAGCAAATGATATGTTGGCCTTCATAGCAAGAATGTTCAAGTACAGGAACAGGAATACTTCGCTGTAATTCTGTTTGCTTTGGTGAGATCACGCATGTAGTATCATGTGCAGTTTTGGCCTCCTTTAGCTGAGGAAGGATGTTCTGACTATGAGACAGTGCAACAAAGTTTTACCAGACTGTTTACTGGGAAGTAAGACTGAGTATGAAGAGAGACTGCTCCAGTTAGGACTGTACTCACTGGCGTTAAGAAGAATGAAGGTAGATCCCATAGAAGCCTATGAAATTCTAACAGGGTAACTGCAGGAAGGATGTTCCCAATGACCAGAGAGTTCAGAATCAGGGTGACAGATTATGGATACGAGATTGACCATTTAGTACTAAAATAAGGAGAAATTTCTTCACCGACAGACCAGTGAGCCTGTGGAATTATCCTGCTACAGAAAGCAGTTGAGTCCAAAACATTGAATGTTTTCAAGAAGGAGGTAGATATTGTTCTTGGGGCTAAAAAGATCAAAAGTTATGGGGAGCAACTGGGAACAGGGTGCTAATATTGATGATCAGCCATGTTCATATTGAATGGTGGAGCAAGCTTGAAGGGTCAAATGGTCTACTCCGGCTCCTATTTCCTATAATTCTATAAGGATATACCCCAAGGTGCTGCAGCTTAGGCTATCCAGTATTTAGAATGTTTCAATATTTGGTCTTGATAGTTTTGGGTCCCAGGTCCAAACAGGTATTGGTAGAAAAAAAGTGCTCGGTGGGGGAAACATTTTGATGAGAATATTGCAAAAGTGGGAAGACACAAGTGCAAGAATAAGAAACCTGCACTAGGAAAAGTTTGAATGGCAAATAATATGGACTGAAAGACAGTATGAAGTCTGAAGAAAACTTTAGTATTTGCTGTAAGCATTATCTTTTAATTAACAAGTCAGAGACCTTTCATGAGTGTGGACTAGTCACTGTGTCATCTGCAAATTATTGAGTGCATCTGGAGAAGAAAGACCAAGAATCAGTGTTCTAATCCATACAAGAATCATCTCAACATACACCGTGAATGGTCAACTAAGCTGCTTTCCCACTTTTTCCTCTGTCCTTATGTTTAAACAGCATTATTGTTTGTATGTGTGTATTCAAGGGCAAGTTTATAAAGGGGCTAAAGTTCTAATTAGTGGAGTTATATGCTGACTACATTCTCTATTGTGATAAGTAGTAGTTCTTATTAAATACAGAAACCTAGTTAATGCTTTCTATCAACCTTGGTCTGAAGATCAGGTAAATTGGGGAATTTCGCATACCTCAATAACATCTTCAACATTTGAGATGACTCCAGAAATAATGGGGCTTGATTTCCAATGCACCACCCGAGTGAGGTGTAATACTACAGCTTCTGTATATTCTTACATTTCTAAAAACATTCACTGAAAAGAATATGAATATATTTCCATAATTATCCAACTGATTGATGTATGGAGGCTTTAAATATGTACCGACTCCTGCTTGATTTCACAAATACATACATCTTGTTATCTCCTAATCAGCACTGTATTTGCATTTATTAGAAGACATTTTTTTTGCAGTTGTACCTGCTTAATTTATAGTTGATATACTTCTGTTTATGTTATGTTCTGCGATTGAAATCATTTTCGAAAAATAAGATCTATTTCAGTTTTTTTTTTACTTTTTTAAGCTTTCGGTAAAGATGGAATCAGAATCATACCTGATAAATTTGATTCTTTACTTTGAAAATTGAGAAATATGAGATGAGAACAGACACTGAATTTAATGTAACATTTTCCCATATCTCAGGGTTTGATAGTCTGAAAAACACTTGCATCTTCCCTCAAATATGTAGCATTCCATGAAACCAGTTGTGATCCTGTTTTGATCATTTTGACAGAATTTGAAAATGTTACTGGCCCAAAATTACTTGATCAAGTTTTGTTCTTCTGGCACGGCTGTTGAGGAAAACAGCTTTGACCATAAACCAATATATTTGAGTACTCCATTTTTAAGCTATCTTATTAACTCTGTAGAGAACTGGTAAATTTCTTCTGTAAGGATGTGTTTTCTTCAAAGGGTGCAGTAACAATTACAGTTTATTGGAAATCGCAACGTAACTCAATACTGCAGTCTAGATAGAAGAACCAGTTTGCATGGTCATTCAAACTGATAAGGACAGATTTAACAGCGATGAAGTGAACAAGTGCAGTTATACTGTATAATTCTGTCAGAGCGGGGACATTAGCAGGGTCTACTTGGATACTTCTATCAAAGAATGGGCCGAACGATCACCTTCTGTGCTGTATGATCTTATATTGAACAAGGAGTGTTTGCGGATTTGGATGCCTCAACGTATTTTGATGATAATGTGTCTAGGCAATTCTCTTAGTTTTGGCTTTATTTGCAGCTTTTTGTACCTTACAGTAAAATCTTCTTTTGTTTTAATATTTTTGCAGTTTCACACTTGACACCTGAGCACGTGCATTAACGCTACTGACAGGCTGATTTTAAATTGTATTTTAGGGTTCAGGAGTGGTACTAGTAAACACATTTAAAAATCCAATACATTTGGAGAGGTGTACCAACCTTTGAGTCAGTAGTTTTGGAATTTTAGAGAAGTGTTCTTTTTATTCAGAAGTAGGGAGATGGTTGTGTAATGGTAATGCCACTAGATCAGTAATCCAAAAGTTCAGGCAATATTCTTAGGACATGAATTTAAATCCAATAACTATAACGGGGATATAAAGTTAGCCTCAGTAATGATGAACATGAAATTATCACATTGATTATTGTAAAAGCTGATAGTTCGCTGATATCCTTTAGGGAGGGAAATCTGCTGCCTTTACCTGTTCTGAGGCTACATTTGATTCCAAAACCCACAGCATTTCTGTTGATCCTTAACTGCACTTTGCAATGGCCTAGTAAGCTATTTAGTTCAAGAGCAATTAAGGATGAGTTTCAAATATTAGACCATAGGACATAGGAGCATAAGTAGGCCTCTTTGCCATTAAGTGAGATCATGGCTGACCAGATAATCTTCAATTCCACTTTCCTGCCTTAACCCCATTGCCCTAGATCTCTTTAATGATTAGAAATCTGTCTATCACTACCTTGAATATATTTAACAACTCAGCCTCAATAGTCTTCAGCTGTAAAGAATTTCATAGATTGATTACCATCAAAGAAGGAAGTTCCCTTACTCTTAAAATTATGCCCCTTGGTCCCAGACTTTCCCACAAGGAGAAACAATCTCTCAGCATATACCCTGTCAAGCCTCCTAAGAGTTTTGCATGTTGCAAAAGGTATTTTCTCATTCTTAAAACCACAAAGCGTATAAGCCTAACCTGTTCAACATCTCCTATGAAAAACCCTCCATTCATGGGATCAGTCAAGTGACACTTCCCTGGACTACATGCAAGCCATGCATATCTTTCCTTAGATAAGGGGACAGACTGTTCAGTGTTCGAGGTGTGATCTGACAAATGCCTTGCATCATTTTAGCAGGATTTCCCTATTTATATGCTCTATTCCTTTTTGAAGTAAAGGCCAACATTCCATTTTCTTTTTGTATAACCAGCTAAACGTAATGCTAGCTTTTTATGATTCATGCCTTGGACCCCCAAGCCCCTCTACTGGAGCTGCAGTCTTTCTCCATTTTAATAATAGCCAACTCTTCTATTCTTCCTTCCACAGTACATAAGCTCACATTTTCCCACAGTATACTCAAGTTGTCAACTTTTTAACCACTTACTTAACCTGTCTAGATTCCTCAGTAGACTCCTTGTGTCATCCTTGCTACTTGCTTTCCCACCTATTTTAGTGTCATCTGCAACTTGGCAAAAGCACATTCGCTTTTGTCACAGAGCCATTACTGCCTGTTGTCAATAATTGTGGTTTCTGCGTGGATCCCTGTGGCATTCCACTAGTTACAGGTTGCCACATGAAAATACTCTTCTTATCCCAACTATGTCTTCTTTAGTTAGCCAATCCTCTATCCATGCTAATATACTACCCTTAAAAGCATGAGCTGTTATCTTATTAAGTAGCCTCAAGTGCCATACCTTTATTAAATGCTTTTGGGAAATTCAAATATTTTGCAAGTATGGGTTCTCCTTTATCTACCCTGTTTATTAATTCCTCAAAGAATTGTAATAAATTTGCTAGGCCTGAGTTCCCCTTCACAAAGCCATGCTGATTCTGCTTGATTTATATTGTGTTTTTAAATGTTCTGCATATACATGCACACTGTAGCAAGAAGAAACACCCTCTCCACAACACTATAGTACAAGAAGCCATTCAAATGGGGAAGGAATTAGGAGTGTAGTAGCGGAGGGGAATGATGCTGTTGTCTGTAGCTGTCAGCATGACACCAGGCACGGCTAAGGATATTTCCTGAGATCTAGAGGGAAACTTGGAGCAGCAGGAAAGGGATCCAGTTGTTGACGTCAAACATGAGTCATACAACCTGGAAACAGAACCTTCAGTCCAACTTGTCCACACGGACCGGGCATCCCAGTCCAATCTTTTGCCAGCATTTAGCCTATGTACCTCTAAAGCCTTCCTATATATAAACGCATGTAAATGCCTTTTAAATGCTGTAATTGTACTAGCCTCCATCACTTCCTCTAGCAGCTCGTTCCATACATGCACCACTCTCCGTGTGGGGGGAAAAAAAATTACCCCTCCAGGCCTTTTTAAATCTTTCCCCTCTCACCTCAAACCTCTAATTTTGGTCTCCCCCACCTTGGCACTATTCACCCTGTCTATGCCCCTTGTGATTTTAGAAACCTACATAAGGTCACCCCTCACCCTCTGACACTCCAGGGAAAATAGCACCAGCCTATTCAGCTTCTCCCTATAACTCAAACCCTCCATCCCTGGCAACATCCTTGTAAATCTTTCCTGCACCCTCTCAGGTTTAATAACCTCCTTCCTGTAGAGGGGCAACCATAATGATAGGACTAGAAAGGAGGTTCGTATGTAAGATTTTGAACATTTAGGAGCTAAACTAAAATGCAGAACCCCCAAGGTGATGATGTTGATCTTGAGGGACGCCAGCATCCCCTGAATGCATAAAGGAATCCTCCAAAGTCTATACCTACTAAGTGATTTCCTTGTAAATGTATTTTACGTCTGAAGATTCCTTCAGTATATGTTCACATTATACCTAGATGACATGACTGTACCTTTCTTTTGTACCCAGGGTTGTTTTTGCTGATATCTTTATCATGAATCTGATTCTTTGGGGTGAAGGATCTTCAGCAGCTATACCTTTTGGAACATTGGTTGCTGTCCTAGCTTTGTGGTTCGGCATTTCAGTGCCTCTAACCTTCCTTGGTGCCTATTTTGGCTTCAAGAAACAGGTAAGTTCCTTTGTTGATATCAGGTTTTTCACTTAATAGAGGTGAACTAATTAATGTCATTAAATCAAAATTCACTTAACCATTCTTGAATAAGTTTATTTTTTAATCCCTTTAATCAGTAATCTGTGATAATTACTCCAATGAATAATTTCTGAAACTGTAGACAGTGGCTTTCCACAGTTACATGTAACATGTTACATCCACCACTGCCATGTACTTCGGTTCACTGAAAACTTTCAGGATGTTGCAGTACAAGATTGATTAAGTCCCAGGCAGTGTGTCCTGTGTCATGCCATTGTCATGTTAACTGTTCATTTTATTACCTTTCTTAATTCAGTAGTTGAGACTCCATTTCAGATCTGCTTATTTGTACAGTAGTTATTAGTCACATTATTCAATGTTCCTCTTAACAGACAATAGAGCATCCTGTTCGCGTCAATCAAATTCCACGCCAGATCCCTGACCAGTCATTCTACACAAAGTCTATACCTGGAATCATTATGGGTGGCATATTGCCATTTGGATGTATTTTCATTCAGCTTTTCTTCATTCTCAACAGTATATGGTAAGTCCTTTTGTGGGAAGAAAATCAGCAACACTGTTCTATTCACAGGTTTATTTTTGTAGTACATGCACTTTCAAAATACTAAGCAGGTTTGGAATCCTATATGTAAAATGAGCAATTAAGATTTTTTTTTACTTCATGGTATTTCATAGAACAATTTTTTTTATATACTACACTGGCTTAATTATTTCTGTTGCATACTTAATGGAAATTTACTTGTTGATAGAGTTGCATCATTCATATCTCTAGCTAATCTCACTATCATTACAGGTCTCACCAAATGTATTACATGTTTGGTTTCCTATTTCTGGTGTTCATTATTCTCATCTTCACGTGTTCTGAAGCAACTGTTCTTCTCTGTTATTTCCACCTTTGTGCTGAGGTACGTTCTTTAGAGAGTAATTTATTGTAGCTACTTAAAAAGGTTTTACAAAATTTATTTTACTTTGATTTGTCCTTTTTATGATGAAGTATTTCATGCGATTTGTCATTTCTTTGAACTGGTGTAAAATACGCCTCTACAAGTTAATTCTACATATGGTCTAACTGCTGTGCATCGTAAGGATGGATTTTTTGTCAGTCTAGACAATGTCACAGTTCAAACCAAGCAAGAAATCAATTTTTAAAAAGAACTCCTTCTGTTTATTCCACACTCCTATCTGAGTCCAGTTTTACACATGTAACATTCAGTGCGTGTGCACAGACACCTCTTTGGAAGTGAAATCTTGATGTGAGATTTGTTTAAAGCAAATTGCACTGGATAAACCCTTTCTATAATTGTATTAACAAGCATGTTAGATTAGGGGGCACTTTGCTCAGTTGACTGGGCAGCTGTCTTGCAACTGCTTTAATTCCTGCACTGGCTGAGGTTATCATGAGGGACTCTCCTCCTCAACCCCCTCTCCCTGTCCTGAGGCATGATGTTCTTCACATTAACCACCATCAGTCGACTCTCTAATGAGAGAGCAACTCTGTGGTCTGGTAGGCAACTTTACATTTTACCTTTTAATGTTCGATTGAGTAAACCTCAAGTAAACAGCTACATGAATTTGAGAGCAAGGCTAATTGTATGCTGGATAGTTCAGAAAACAGTGAGTTCCAGCTGTCAGTGTGGCTTTTTTTATTGTATTAATGGAATGAACTTTCTCCATTCGGAGTGCACTGGATGTCATTGCAACCATACAAAATGAGATTGTTTGTTTATTTTAACACCGAGGTTTTTTCTTGTAATTCTGGTTGTGTTCCAAAACACCTGTGCTACAATTAAACTACTTAGAAAATGGCTAACGCTTGTTCATAAAAGACTTTCTTAGAAGGTAGGACGAATTAATTGTAAATTTCTGGAAGTAGTCAAGTGGCAAAGGTCATGACCAATGACATTGAGAAACTTTTGATTTGTTTTTAAATGTAGGTTACATTTTAATTGCTAAGTACAAATGACATACAAAACAATGCTCTGCTTTAGTTTTATTTAAGCTTGTGTAAAAATTGAGATAATTGTAAAAAAATGAGAAGATAATGTGTTGGAGGGAGATTGAAGCTTCTCCAACTACCTTTACCAGCATCTTGCTAAATACTGTACCTGGAAATACTGTAATTGTTCAGTTCATGAATCATAAAAGGTTCACTCCAGATGCGCTGGAGTAGGATGTTCTCCTGATAGGGTGAGAGGAAGCTTATGTGTACTATAAGCACCAATATGGGCCCAAAGGGTCTATCCCTGCTATATGTTTTGTATGTAAAAAATGTAAAGGAAAAACTTCAAGTCAAAATAGCTTGCTGAATGTTGTGATGCACGGCTGGCAGTGATAAATTTATATCTTGGACTGATGATCATTCACTGGTGCACTACTTGAAAGGAAGCAGGTTCCTAACAAGTGAATTCTTCATCTGTGTTTCACACTCTGACTGCTGCCTGGGAGATGTTGTTAATCTCCATTTGTTTGGTGGTTTTGCTGACCAATCAAGAAGTAAATTTGATACCACTACTGCAAGCAGTGAATGAAGCATGTGATCCTACTGCACACTCCTATTTATGTTTAAGAGAAAGTTGTACTTATCATTTCAGAATTACCACTGGCAATGGCGATCATTTCTCACTAGTGGATTTACAGCAGTGTATTTCTTAATCTACGCAGTCCATTATTTCTATTCCAAACTCCAGATAACTGGAACTGCCAGTATCATTTTGTATTTTGGATACACAATGATAATGACGTTGATCTTCTTCTTACTCACAGGTAATCTTTAAAAATAATTTCATAGGGACTGGTATTTGCATTTATTGAATGCCATAGTCTTTTATTTGTGCTTACTCTTTGTTTCTTGGAAACATCGTCTTCATTCCTGAGATAAACACTGAATATCACATGCAAAATTTGAATATAAGAATAATATGCTTCTGAGCGTATTATATTGTTACAGTTATCCAAAGCTCTGAGGAATTTTGTTTGATTGGGTCATTTTTGTCCATTTTACCATTGATAAATGTTGTGGAACTTAAATTAATATGTAAGAAAAGAAAAAAAGAGATTTTCACTTCTATCATATCTTTCACAACCTCATGTTGCCCCAAAGTGCTTTACACAATGTTCCAAAAATACTTGTTTGGTAGCTACGTGAAAATGATCAGATAACTGTCTTAATGATGTTGGATGAGAAATAGATAATGCCCAAGAAGTCAGTGCTGCTTTTTAAAATCGTGACATGAGATTTTTTACTTCCACTTAAGAGAACAGATGAGGTCTTGGATTAACATCTTGTCTGAAATATACTACTTTCAATGGTGCAGCATTCTCTCTGTGTATTTCTCTGGAAAGCATCAGTCCGGAATATGTGCTCAAGTCTGAAGTGATGTTGAAACAAAAACCTGTGATGGGGTGGTGAGCATGTAACCAACATCCTAGCTCTGTTTCATTTAATTCCATCTCCAGAAAGGTTTTTCACACACCCAGCTCTGATGCAATGTGTTTGTCTGAGTAGAACATAATTGAGAAGTAATTACAATGCTTTAATATGAGAAAAATGCAACAATGTTAACAGCCTCAATTGGATTTTGAAGTAGAAATGACTTAGCACACAGTTATCGTTCCTTTGAATATCCTTGATGATCCTTTTGAATAAAATATTTAGTCGATTTCCCTCTGTAATGGAACTCCTGCTTTACTTTGTTCAAGAGTTCTGTAGTTGTCTTTGTACAAGGCTGCCTACACATTACCTGTTGAGAACTATATTTTGTTATGTCAAAGCAAGACAATATCAGCCATGGGTCAGTTGATCACATTCTTCTTGGCTGAGTTTGAAGATTGAGCACAAATTCCAGGCTCAAACTAGAGTGTGATACTGAGGGGGTGTTGCACAGTCAGAAATCCTGTCTTTTGGACAAGAAGTTAAATTGGGCCTTGATGTTCTCGTACAGGTGAATGTAACACGTGGTTTTGATAAAGAGTATAGGGAAAGTATCTCTGATGGCCTGCCTAATATTTATCCAATCGACCAACATGAAAACCAATTAATCTGTCATCATGTTGATGTTTTATGAACTTACTATGTGCAAATTGGCAACTGCATTTTCTATATTACAAAAATGCAAGGACAGAAATGACATTTGTGAATGCAGCCAGAAAATTCATTCCCTATTTTACTTGTAGCTCAGATTACAAGACATCTCTTGATCTCATGTTATTGCTGAAATGTGTTTGATCATCCAGTAGATGAGGGAAACATTTTCCATTCAGAAGTGAACACATTGCTTAGGGCCTTAGGGTTATGGAACTCTACAAGATAAATCTGTAATTCCATTCCTGTGGTTGACAGTGCACGAATCTGTGTCACAAATACTCTACGTATGTTTATGCAGCTAAGAGGAAAAGACAGATGAGAAAAATGTTCAGCGCTGTAGTTTCTGGTGGTATCCTGCTGTTAAGTCAGAGATTTACTTGCTGTAGGCACTGGCTTTCCTGTTGCATTCCAGGTCATTGGTCAGCCTCGGCAGGCAGAATGCCAGTAGCTGCAATATAGATCTGTCTGATTCACAGCTGGGTTGGTAGCAGGTATCATAGACATTGAGCTGGTAAACATCACTGCTGTTGAGGACCATGAAAAATGATATCACAGGGTTTTTCAGACTTAAAAAGTCACTTATGTGAAGTGCCTTTAGTGGATCTGAATATTGCTGATTTTGGTTTTACAAGCTCCACATTTTCTTTCAGGAACTATTGGGTACATCGCATGTTTTTGGTTTGTGACCAAGATTTACAGTGTTGTCAAGGTGGATTGAAAGAACTATCTTTCTGGAAAGTGTACGTCTTTTTGACAGAACTTTTGTTTACCGAGTTGATTTGATGTCTTGCACATGGAAGAGTCTGGTTAAATCAGAAGAGCTATTGTACAAAATACTGGCACCAAGTTTATATTTTTTAATTAAAACTTGTTGGGATATAAATCATTTTGAAATGAATGCACACTTGTTCAGTTTGAAGGAAAATCTGTCCTGTTTGCTTTTTTACATTGGGATTTGTTTAAAATTTCCATTATATTTTATAATTATATTTGCATAGTAGCATCAAAGGCATGTGCGACACAATAATGTTTCTGTAAATTGTGGTATACACTGTCTACTGAAATAAAGATCTTCAAAAGACCTATACATTTAAGATAACAAAAAATCAGTGCAATAAGCCAAAAAGACTTGGTTTCTAATTAAAATGCATTTGGTTACTTGTTGCTTTCTCCATTTTTCTACTCTTATTGTTTATTAAGAAACAATACAGTTGTTATGCAAGCAATTAAGGAGTTTCTGTCACTTCTCTTCCTTTTTGCCTTCTTTTCATGAGGTGTTGACATATTTTTACTGCCTCCTATTATGACAGCAGAGGGGGAAACTTCAGGTGAATGGGTTATTATTCATAAACTAACATTCCAATTTAGAGGCACTTGTTTGCAGGAAATGATATAATTCATTGCTATGATGAAGCTGGCAATGATTTGTTTAAGAGTCGGCGACATTGCCATGAGAATGGTTAATCTGTCACACTAGAACAGAATGAAAAATATATGTAAATCCAGTTTAGCCTAAAATAGATTATTAAAAAGCTTACATCCACAGAATTTCCTGACTGGCTTTGCCAGCTGCAGCACTTATTTTCTATCTCATCAATTCTCAAAAAAGATTGTTATTCCTGTTTTATTTTGCCCATGATGAGTTAGTTGCCTCGCCTGATGAAAATTTGTCTCTTGATATTTTCCTATTATAGTTTTTAGTGTCATTTGCTTAATTCTCTCTTCTCTTGGCAAAAACTTCAGTCTTGCTGCGTCACCTTGCAATGCAGAAAGAAGCTTTAAAAACTTTTTTTGAAAAACGCAGACATATAAATTGGATCGTAAAGTGTAGGGGGAGTAGCACACTGGAGAAGACAGGAGGCTGGTGAATGCTGGAGAAGACGAGAAGGAAAGAGGAGGAAAATAGAAAAATGACCGTTTTCCATGCTTGTTTTCTTTGTATTCTACAAACTACACTCGTGAACGAAAAGGAAATACTTTACATTAATTAGAGGTTTACCTTTGGTAATAGGCCTATTTTATTGATTCTTGTTGATTTTATGATGATCATTTGAACACTTTTTATTTACTTAGGAACAATTTTTAATATAAGTTATGTTTTCTGTAACTAGAAACACTGCCAAACTTAAATATTTATTATAATTGTGAAGGAATGTATTGGGCTGCTTTTCTTTATTGGGATGATTGGTCATTGTTGAATACTGTATTTTTTTTATTCCATTGGGATGACATTTTGCTGTGTGCCTCTGAATCATTCAATTTGCAAGTCAACAATATGTTTTTCAATAAATCTTGTGTAAAAATAAAAGTTTTTCATGCACTATTGATTTTAGGGGTAAAAGAAAAACTTGCATTCATGTAGCAATTTTCACAATGAATAGGAATCTCAGTGCATTTTACATCCATGCAATACTTTCTTGAATTATAGGTATTTGTAATTTGGGATAATTTCCTGCCTGTCCATCGAAATAGTTCTGTAGGATATTTTATCTGCTCAAGCAAGCAGGCAGGACCTTGATTTAACTTCTCACCTGAAATATGGTACTCTGATGTTGCAGTGCTCCCTCAGTTCTGCACTGGAGTACAATCCTTGGTTTTTGTGTCAAATCTTGGAGTGGAACTTGAACCCAAAACCTCATGATCCAGAGAGTTGAGCCATAACAGGCACCTTACAAATTGCTATTTTTTTAAAACTGTAGGCCCAAGAATTAATTGTCATGGAAATAGGATGCTGAAAAAGTAGCAATACTATCACATGCTAATTAAAGCTTTTAAAATAATGATCCACAAAATCACACCAGTCTTGAGAATTTTACATGATGATAGTGTTTGCAATAAAACAATGGTAGTTACAAATGTATTGGAACAAACCAGAATGGAGATTGAACTGAATGTTTCACATCAGAACAAATATAGACGAATTTGTTTACTTAGGACACCTAATAAGAGATGGTAAATGTGGTAAAGAAGTTAGAAAGATAACCAGAAGTAATTCAGTGAAGTTGAGGGGTGGATTAAGGAGTGGGAATTGGATAAATGTTTGAAGAGGTGAAAGTGCAAGGAAGTGGGACTACAGAAAGTCCACACTTTGGTTGTGTTCCTCCTTTTAAGTGAATCATGGATTCCCATAAAAATCAATGATGTAACTGCATGTGGTGTCTAATGGGCATTTATCGCTTCCAAAAAGTAATGTACAGGTTGAAGTACTGCACTGCTACTTGAAGTGACTTGTAAATTAAAATAACTCTTCAATGTTTTTATTATATTTAATGATTTATGTGCTTAAGGACCTTTTATCAACAAAAAAAAACTTTAAACCAAATTGAAATGGTGTGCATTTCCAAATGTCTACATTCAAAAAATCCAATAATCTACAAAATAAATTAAGTATAGAAATACAATATAAATGTATGTTCTGCAAATAATTGTTAAAATTCAAGTGTAATTTTAATTCACCATGCTCCATCTAGTGTCAGAAGCTGGTCAGTGCACATGCAACTTTTGCCACACGACTCTGGTACAAGTTCTCAACATGAACTATGACAGAACTAGACACGAGACTTTAAAAATAAGAACAGAGAATGTGAACATGTGGATGGGATTGTGAAGAGGGTCCGAGGGTAAGGGCAAGGAGAAATCGGGACTGAATGCAGGAGCAAATGTATGAGGAGATGTGAGGGGCGAGTCACACGAAGTCAAGCAAACAACATGTATGTGGAACTCTCAATCAAATATACCACTTTTATTAACAGCATTAAAGCAAAATAACGTTAACTTGGTTAATTTTAAGAGGGGATTTACTGTAACTGCATAGCTCTTTAAAAGAGGTGTAATAGTCCAAAAGATTTTCTTATGGTTTGTATTATTCTATAAGAATGAAGAATATTCAAGTCTATAACAAGAAAAGGAAAATTCAATGCTATGTTCTATGCACTTTTCTGTATACCTCAGAAATAATTAAGATTATTGAAAGAAAATAGATGCCTTTGAAATGTAGATGTGAAGACTTATGCCTAAAATTTTATAAACAAAGCACAAGACAAATGAAGAGGTGCTTGAAATAACAAGAGCAAAAATAATACTCTTAAAGAATTTAAAAGTGACATCCAGAAAAGAATATGTCAATATTTCAGCTGTGAAGTTACAGCAATTTCTCCAGAGGGCAAAGTGGAGCGCCACAGAAAAAAAGGGCCAACCCAGGAATAATTGGGTTACAGTGTTTGTATTTGAGCTGCAGTATATGAGGGATTGGTGCCCATATGGTACTGAATTTGATTGAGCATGAAGTACCATGATAGCAGATCTCCTGGTAAGGGTTAGATACATACATATATTGTATGTCAATTTTATTTGTATGTCAATTAAATTGCAATTTTTCTGATATGACTTGATGTTTCAGTGCAAATTCTGCTAAGTATTAACACCATACCTCCATTAGACTAATGGTTTGAAGTTTCCCACTTCCCACCACTCACTCTGACAGAAAACAACAGCATTTATCCATATATTTAACAAAATATATCCTAGGCTGTACTTGACGCTTGAATTGTATCCACCATTGAGAATATAATAATTATACTTTTAAACAGACCTTGTTAGATAAGGTTACTAGGGGCATTGAAGCCAAAGCAGGTAGATAGAATTAAGATGCAAATCAGACATGGTCCAACTGAACGATTCAAGGGGATGAATGACCTCTTATTCCCCTCTTGCTACTGTTTGCATAGAATGTATTGATTGATGGATATGCTGGATCTATTACTGCAGTTGATCTTGCAAGAATCCATGATTGTGACTGATTGGTGATTGCAAAATAATAAGAAAACAACTTTCTGATTGTCTTATGCAAGGGTTACACTAGCTTAATAGCTTTAAAAAGGCTTACTGTAGACTATCAAACTGGCAAACCTGTCCACTATATGACCATGTTGACTTGGCCAGTAACAGAAATTAGATTCCAATTCCAATATGTTTTCTAAAAGTTTGTAGAAATGTTAATCAGGATGTTGAAAATGCTTTTATGAATGATTTATGATTGTCAACAAGTGTTATGGGTATCTGCCGGGGAAGTGGAGTTAAGGCCACAATCGGGTCAACCATGATCTTATGAAATAGCAGAGTGTATAGGTTGAATGGCTGATTCCTGCTACTCATGATTCTACTTGGAATGTGTTCCGTCTGAATGGTTAAGGCATATAGTATAAATATATTTGAGAAAGCTTGATAAAAATAATGAGGGAAAAGACGTAGAAAAGTATGCTGATAGACTGAGATAAAGTAGTTAACACAGAGGTTTATGTGGAGAATGAACACGAGCATTGACCAATTAAAATAACCTGAAATGAAGTGAATAGCTGCAATACAAAACATAAAAATTCCATGAAGCATTCTAATTTATTGCATGTAATTCCTGGATGTGATATTTTTGCCTCTTTTGTATCCTGAAGCCACTTAATTGTCTTTTCTGCTCTGGTGTACTGCCTAGCAAGCATTTTCTGTCAACATTTTCTAATGTTGCGATTCTTTATATCTGAAGTTCATTAATTTTTGATCAATGACACATTCACTTTCATTCTTTTTGTGCATCTGCACAGTATTTTCATGCACTTAACAGACTGTTACATGTCACATTTGATTTAACTGCTAAGTTTTACTTAAGTAAAAAAATTGGTTATTTGTGATGACCACCAGATATTACAATGTCAAGGATTGAAACTGCTTTGCTTTTTTTTAATTAATCAAATTTTAAGAAGGATTCATGTCAAGTCTTTTGCAATTCAACTCCCTGCAGTTTAACAAGTTTGATGTGCCTGTATTAGCATTAGTTCTGTCTGTATGATCTCTCTGGTGTAGCTCTCCTTACTGGTAATGTAATGAGCATATTCACAAATTTGCATTAATGAACACTGCAAAGTGAATTAATTGAATATGTTGCATGCTTACATATTTTACAATATTCCTTGAGTAACATAGAACAGTACAGGCCCTTCAGCCCATGATGTTGTGCCGACCTATCCTACTCTAAGATCAAACTACCCCGCATACCCTACATTCTACTGTTATCTATGTGCCTGTCCAAGAGTCGCTTAAATGTCCCTAATATATCTGACTCCTCTACCACTGCCGGCAGTGCATTCCACACACCCACCACTCTCTGTGTAAAAAACCTACCTCTGACATCTCCCCTATACCTTCCTCCAATCACCTTAAAATTATGCCCCTCGTGATAGTCATTTCTGCCCTGGGAAAACGTCTCTGGCTATCCACTCTATCTATGCCTCTCATCATCTTGTACACCTCTATTAAATCACTTCTCATCTTTCTTCGCTCCAATGAGAAAAGCCCTAGCTCCTTCAACCCTTCCTCATAAGACCTGCCCTCCAGTCCAAGCAGCATCCTGGTAAATCTCCTCTGCACCCTCTCTAAAGCTTCCACATCCTTCCTATAATGTGGCAACCAGAACTGAACACAATATTCCAAGCGTGGTCTAACCAGGGTTTTATAGAGCTGCAGCGTAACCTTGTGGCTCTTCAACTTAATTCCCCTGCCAATGAAAGCCAACACACCATACGCTTTCTTAACAATCCTACCAACTTGGGTAGCAACTTTGAGGGATCTACGGATGTGGACCCCAAGATCCCTCAGTTCTGCCACACTGCCAAGAATACTGCCATTAACCCTGTACTCTGCATTCAAATTTGACTTTCCAAAATGAATCACTTCACACCTTAGCCAAAGGAGGTGAAAATAGCAGTAATAAGCAGATTCAACTCTTCCCTTTCACAGAATGATTAAATATGTTCCTCAAGCTGTTTCTGTCAATAAAGTTAAAACATTGATGAAGGATTACATCGAATTTACATCACAGAAACAGGCCATTCTGCCCAACTCATTTATGCACCACACAAGCTTCTTCCCACTTATTTTGTATGACTCTATCAGTATATCCTTCTTTTATCCCTTATATTTATTTAACTTCCCTTAAATGCTATTCCCCTCAATCACTTCATGTGGTTGTGAGTTCCAGATTCTCATTACTGTCTGGGTAAAGGCAGTTCTCTTGAATTTCACTTTGACTTTATGTGTGATTATCTAATATTAATGGTAGCTATAGCAGTACATTTAACATTTGATTTGCAAAACCAGAAGTAATCCTATGAGCATTTCCTTTCATTTAATTTGTTACAACTGATAAAATACAGAAGAATATAATGGAAACTTGATGATGACTTGATGAAAACTTTTATTTTACGTATGGATTGATTACGTAAGTTGAATCTTTTAAGAAAAGTGACCTTTATATATCCA